CCTGTTAAAATAAAAAAATGTTTAGTTTAAGTTTAGTTTCAACACTGAAGAAGATCTTGCGAAAGACCTGACAAAGTGATTGTACATTCAATAACGGATAACAACATTATAACTAACGTACACTAATGATGGTCGTTATGACTACAATTCTGTATTTTTAAATGCTTAAAGATAATGACGTGATAGACGTGTTTACTGCATTCACCAGATTATTATTACTACACTTGTTTACCCAGGAAAGCTTCGCTGAGTCTCAAGACTCTTTTTCAGGAGGATCCTGCCAAGTTTTTCGCAGCCGGGTTGTGCGATGTGTCCGTGTGTGGGCCTTACTTGGCAAAATAAAAAAATTTGGAAATAAAAAAATGAGATGGATAAAATCAGGATGAGGCACTGTCTCCGTGTAAAAGGGCAAAACCCCGACAGGACATGCTTTCTCCAGTCCCAGCGACCCGGGAGACTTCTCTCAAGTTCCTGAGTCATCCCTCTCAGTTAGGGGAAGAGCACTCCTTCTCCTCTGATGCCCCCCCCCGCCCCCCCAATAGTCCGATTCCGATTCTGTCTGGCGCTGCCTTCCACTGGCAATCTGTGCCGTGAGCTCCAAGTTCAACTTCAGGAAGCGATTTCACCGTGGCTGTAGGTTCTTCTCTCGATAACACCCCGTTAAGGGCAGCCGTGCACCGCGCACAGCCCGCTGTTTTTGGTCCCCAGAGAAGCCGTCGCATTTGGATGCTCTGTAAATGCACGTTGGAATTGTACCGCGTCGCGCGAGACGACAGTCAATCGGGGGACGTCGAAATGAGGTGCAGTGCAGCGTTGGACTGACGATGCTGACGATGATGCTGATGATGATGAAGATGTATATGACCGGACAGAAATAGCGTGAACATTGCCTCTTGGCAGGCAACACCCGTGGGTTAATCGCAGTGTCACCCGGCTCATTCTGAACGTGGCACGCGTGTTTCAGGCGTCAGACGATCCGCGATGGGAAAACGCCGTGAAGAGAGCTATTCGGCCGTTGGCGAGGGTTTGGTGAAGGTCGCGCCATTCGCCGGGTTCATAGCCCAGTGTGCGAACCACTGTGGCACCGCGCAAATCAATCCATGTATATATATTTTTTCTAACATTCAAATATGATGCTGTAATAAGTTATTAACCAAACCAAGCTACACTGAATAATTGAAACAAATTTGTGCATTCAGCACCGTTCCCTGCGCGTGAGCTGAATGATACCGCTCGCTTGCCTCGAAATATACGTATTACATGTCTACACATGCATTAAAAAAAAAACCTTAACCTGGCAGAGTGTAAGTAACAACAGTTGTGGGCAAAGTCAGCGCAACAGAACAAGCGCGGATGTGCTTTTTATTCACTTTGCCCATTGCCTGTTGAGCGAACGCACAAATTGGTGTGCGAATTGATGAACGACGCACGTTCGTTCTTCCCTCATTAGGACTCCGTTCCGACAGCGACAGTTTGCGAGGCGCACGACGGTTTTTACTTCGCCCCCCCCCTCTACCACCCCAGCTGCCCCCCCCCCCCCCTCGCTGCCTCTTCCCCGAGCACCCAGCCGAGGCGTCGTGAGTTTTGATTACAATCGAATCGCAATTAGAAACTCCGGGCTGCGGGCGCGTTCGCGGGTGCTCTCGCTTCTCCATCTGCTCGCTCGCTTTTGCTTTAATTTTAGTTTGCCTACAAAACAAATGTCAATAATTCAGCGGGAGGGAGTTTCAAAGTGGCAGAGCAAAAAAACAGCTCTCTTCGCTCCGTACTACAAAGGAACCGGTATATTTCACGTTCATTTATTCCTTATATCCATGCCAATTGCCCATTAGCTTATTCGTCACATGATGTACCTCAGCCAATTGCTACACACAACAGAGAGCCTTTATCTTGGAAAGCACGTAAACAGAATCCCTGCTTGTGCTTCCACTTCACCTGAAGCAGAATGTTGGCCATCAGAATGCCCGAGCCTTGCAAATAAATTCAGAGTCTTTAACGTTCCCTCCATGGCACGGGGGTAATGATAATTCCTTTATTTAACGTAATCAAAACCTCGCCGAGTCTCCAGACAATCGGGCAGGAGCGAGCTGATTTGGATTTCGTCGAACTCAACGTATGCATGTCTAGCGAAGTACAATCGCTGCTTTCTGAAACCTCACATGAGTAATTGTTTAACAGGTGGCGATGTTTGTAAATTATTTTATTTCGGCACGATTGAATAATTTTCGTGTCGTGTGACTGTTGAAAAGCTTTTTTTTTCTTCCTCCCGTGTGACCGCGAGGACTACAGCTCCTCGGGGTTATGAGCAAGCGTGAAGGATCTCTTTGTATTATTAACGGACTGCATATCTATTCCGTACATGCCTCGGTGACCTGAAAATGTGTCTTACGAGTATGGAAAACCCAACTGAATAAAAATTTAATTCAACATTTTTGAAGGCCCTTTCATGCAGTCACACGAATACGAACGAGCTAACAAATTCGTTATTTTCACCGACGAAAAAAATTACCCACTCATCATTCCTACACTCGAGTGATCAGAAATAATGCTCTAAATTACTCTCGATATTGAATATTCCGCTGTGTTGGATTGATTTTATACTGGCTCGGCTTGAAGACCTTTTTATTATTAGCATCTTTTTTTACTGCGCAGAATGTATGCTTGGGCATGTGCGCACGGGGAGTGGTAGTGTGTTAGTATTTCAGTGGATAGTACACTCTGAAGTAACACTCACCTTCAGGCTACCTGGATTCAATTCCCGTGCATCTGCACCTCACCCAAGTTGCTTAAGGATTATTACCTGGCCATCATCGCCAAGTGCCCTGTGATGGTATGTCAAGTCAGCCGGGTGGTTCGGTGGTAGAGTGTCTGGCTTGCAATCATTGGGGGAGGGGGACGGCGGGGCTGAGAACTGATTCAACCTTTCATGACATCGCTCGGGGGCCGATCAAATTAATACCACTTTGTGGCAGAAGTCAACTGCGGAAATCCTACGGACAGACTCGACCCACCATTAGAGTGGGGAATTTCCACCTCTAGCTCAGGGCTGTAATAAACAGGATGTGAGTGAGTGAGTGAGTGCTGCCGCACGCTCAGTTGAGTGGGAAATCACTCTCGGTGGGGGGGGGGGGTCCACTTCAGCCAGGCCACAGAGTCGTTGCCCTGACGATGGCCCGCATGCTGGCCACGATGGGGGCTAACAGCAGCAGCACTTGCGTGCTCCCACCCTCCTCTCTCCGCACGCGCGAGACACTTGCCCGGGAGGAGAAATAAACATTTCATCTCCCTTTTATTAAATGTAGGCTAGAAGGTTAAAAATAAGACTAAACAACCCGTGTCTACGTTATTTAATTTCGAATATTTTTTTGTGGTAATCATCTGTTAACCCCATGTACTTTCCTGTATTTGTAACCTTACTTTGCCGCTGGTTCACCCTCTTCTGCGGTGGACTCACACAGCAGGGCATCACCGTCTACCCAATTCACCCAGAATGCACCCCACATCCAATCACATCTTGGAAGCTAAGCACGAATTGAGCCAGTCATTGTGCTTGGATGATGGGCGACCAACCCCGTACTGATCTATCGTGATGAAGTACGGTCAAATAACTCCCAGGGACACGCACGGCTATGGGAGGTCCTCATCCATCGGTGGATTGACAAAACGGGGCGATAGATGTTCGTGTATACCCCAATTGATCTTGCGGTCGTTTTATTGCGAGTCAAACCCTGGGACCCAACAGGGGTCGTTCCATGGAAAGACTGGTCCCCATCATGGAAATGTGGGAATGGCACCAGAGGCTCTGAAATGTTTAGATAAATGAACATGGTTCAAAATTATTATTATTTTTTTTAGCAGAGAATCTAATGGTTGGATTGCATGAAATTAAATAGTTACTTCCTTGTATTGGATGTGAAATCTTCACGGATCGTTTCCGCGAGACTCCATCTACCCCACCCTCTCACTCCTCTGCACTTATTCCACCCCCAACACCATTCCTCCCCTGGAATTCTGGCAGGGTCGTTAGAATAAAATGACTGTGCTTGGGAAGAGACATTTTTCATTTTAAATCCGAGTGATGAACGGACGAACGGACGGATGAATGGACAGATGAATGGACGAACAACTTACGATTTTATGCGTACGTTTGCAGTACAACATTGCATGTCCAACTGCCTAACATTGTCCCAGAACAATTAACCGCTGACACAGTATGTGTGGATTGCGTTACTGTAATCTGCTCTGGACATTCACAAATCTGACAGTTTTAACGTATGTATGGCATGTTCAACTTCTTTCCAAACTAAACAATTTTTTTTTTTTATTTTACCCGGTAACGCCCACTGAGCTATAAAGCTCGTTTTCAGATGCAACCTGGCCACAAATGACAGCGCAATCAAGTGGCTTATCATGTGGAAACTGAGAGCAGCCACAAACTCGAAACGCGCGGTGATGTTGATTCTAAATGTGGAGGGAAAAACCGGAGGACCCGAAGAAAAATCCACACGGCCACGGGGAAAACGAGCAAAATATACAGGCGTCGGGGTCGGGGTCGGGGTCGGGATCGAACCCACAACCTCTTGGATACCAGACGAGGTAGTTAACATCTCGCCACCGTGGTGCCCCCAAACCGTGCTAATTGGAGGTGCCGGCGATCAAAGTAATGTGGCAGTATGCACCTTGTTTTTGTCCAGTGACACATTCGCACGCCGTGTCACTCTCATTTTCTGTAGATGTTCACGTATCTGACCTTTTTGTCATATCCGAGTTTGGCTGCTACTCTGGATTCGCACATGCCGTAAAGCCACTTCGATGAGCCATCACGTGCAACCAGGCCACCTCGGAAAAATAAAAGCCCATCGCTCGTTGGGCTTTTTCGCGGCAAAACACAAAGCAGCTTCGTAAAACCGCCGAGCCTCCGGGGCAGCTGGACTGCGAGCGTCGTCTCACCGGCACCGCTCGTCCCGGCCTCACGGTCCGTGCCCGTCTCCCCCGCGCAGGTGGTGAAGCTGCTGCTGAGCAGCAACGTGTGCCCCACGCTGCTGGAGGGGCGTCCCCACGACCCCAGCCACCCCAACAGCACCAGCGCGCTGCACCTCGCCGCCAAGAACGGCCACGTCGACATCATACGGTAACGCCCCGCGCCCCCCCTGCCGGGAAACCACGGGGCCTCCGTAAGGTCGTGCTGCGCTCCCACCGCCACCGCTGGTTGAGGGGGAAGCCCCGGGCCCAGGTTTGGCGATCTGGGCCCGGATTTCCACGGTAAGCCTGCTGGGCTAAGCCCGCACCGGCCCCGGGGGTCATGTGCCTCGCATTTAAGGGAGCCGCGCGAGTTATTTAGTTATTTCAGGGCCGCCCTGGAAATTCGTTGTGACATCGGGGGGTTTAAAGTGCATGGGGAGATGTGTGCTCAATGGCAGATCTCTCCCATAGGTCAACTTGACAGCCTTGTTTTTCTTTTTAAAGAAGCCTCAAAAGAAAAACACGTTGGAAAATGACAAAGGTAATAGGAGCTATGTTGTGATAGCGTAATATAACCCAAAGTAGTATGGTTAACCGTGGTAAAAATAAAGCTAATGATGGTCCCTTTCCTTCGGCCATTGATAGGCTAAGGAAGGGATGGGGCAGGGCATAGGAAGTGGGGAGTACAAAGTGCACACAACCGCGCGCACCTCCGATTAGCACGCTTGGCTACGTACGGTGCGAAAGAAGTTCAACATACACGCATACAACCACACGGTTCTAGAAGCATCGGGACAGCATTGAGACACGTTTAGCCATCTCTGGATTAGGCCACTGTGTCCCAGGTCTGTTTCTAGTATTCGTGGGAACATAGCATTATTTCCAGAGGATCGTATATGAGGCAGTTATCATGAGTCAAACTGGCTGAGTTTCAATGATGATGTCAAAATAATGGGAAAACGTATTTTTTTCCATTAAGTCAAAATAGGTTTAAAAACAAACACATCTGTGATCTATATCTTCTACTTATAAAGCTGTTTCAATGCATGTATGCTCGTATGTTGAGCTTTTTTTGCACCGTACGTAGCCAACCGTGCTAATCGGAGGTGCGGGGGAAGGCCAGAAAACTAAACACAAAAAGCAGTTCTCAAGAAATGAGTTTTCAATCTAGATTTGAAAGTGCATATCTCAAATGGCTTCCTAGTATCGGAAGGAGGAGCATTCCAGACGGCCGCAGAAGCGCATCTCAAAGCGCACGATGCGGTGACCCTCTTTGTTCAATGGTTCGCTAAAAGCCGCTGCGAGACTGACCGGAGTTCACGTGATGGTTTAGTTCGTGTAATGGTTTAATATTGAAGTCGCTATGATCATGCGGTTGTGTCACCGTTCTTCAGTTCCTATCCGCTAAGTGGCTCTCTGTTAGCTTAGCGGCCGTCGCTTTGTAATGGCGTGAGTGGGTCGAGGCTGTAATGGCATGATGGATGAGTAGGCGTGATGGTGGATGAGTGTGTCACGCATTGACAGGTACATAAATGAGTGAGTGGATGAATGTTGGTTGGACATGTGGTTCCATTAACGGACCAACACCACCACCATTATCATCATCGGGCCCCTATAATCAAGACCACCATTCGCATTGCCCTTTCACTTCATCATTGGCATTGTCATCATCAACAACGCCCGTTTGGATAGTATCGCTCTTAAGTGTTTTTCTTACAGCGTTTTCATACTTATTTCTTGTGATTACTTTCTCTGACATATCCATGTTACAATCTTTTGTGGTTTCCATTTGCATAAAATGTTTCCTGTAAACTGCTTTGAGGCAACCCTCTCGCGAGAGGCTCTTTCCCAAAAAAATATCGATTGAATGATCGACATTCATATTATACACCCGTTACTCATCCACATCCGTGCCTTATCCATTGCGAATCTTCATCAGCCCTCGGTCCTGCTGAGCGTACGCCTCTTCGGTTCTCGAGGCGTGCACAATGCGGGAATGTCGATATAATGCAGAGACAGTGGTGACATTTTTTTTCAAAATAGTGTCCTTCAAACCTCTCCGCTCAGAGGAAGCACGTCCAGCCATCATGCTTGTTAAGTGAGTGTTAAGCAAGGCTTGCACTAACTGCCCCATCCATCATATTTTTCATACACTTTGTTGCTCACCTTTATACGGCCACGTTCCTTAGGTCTTTTTTCTCTCTCGCCCAAATCAAGCCCGTGTGGTACTCACCCTGGTAAGCGCTGACACGTGACTAATTTAAACTCAAGCTGGTGTTAGGATAAGCACGGTTTGCAGTCGGTGTAATTGATTGATGCTCAAGGTAAAAGTGAAATCCCAACGCCTTTGATGATTTTTTGCATTTGAAAACATTCCATGGAGTCATCTGCCCAAGCACACGAGTCATCCGGGAAAAAATACGGTGATTCCGGGAATGAATTTTCATTCCGCGGCAATAGATCGGTGATTTAATCCTGTCGATATTGCATTCTATTCTCACGCTGCAATAAAGTGATGGTCGGCAAACTCAAACAATGTCCGTTATTGTGCAATAATGTGGGCGCTTCTTCACTTCCACTGATCTCAATGCCTGAAGCAATCTTCCCATTCTCTCCATACTTCTAATTGTCATACACAGTTAAAATATACACGGCTAATTATATTATTATAATGACTATTATGATTGTACCTCTACACGTTGCCTGCCTCGGAGTGAGGTAAAAGCGCAGCTCTGAAATTTCCGGCTCATGCTACTGCTGATGGAAGGTTCCTCCACTCAAGCGAACGTTAGACCCCCCCCACCCCCCCGCTCCTCTTTAGGGTATTTTGGCCTACTCTTCCACCGGTGGTTAGACGTCTTGGTAGAGATGGGGAGTATACCACACTTTATTACACCCACCACGTGACCTGCCAATCAACTAATTGTGGCGGCCGGATGCACGCTGCCGGGTGGACGGAGGCAGAGGTGAGGACATAAGAAACCTGCGCCATTTATTTTGAACTCAAATCGTACCAGCGACCGCTCTGTACGTACGTACGTACGTTGAACTTCTTTGGCACCGTACTAATCGGAGGTGCAGTCCAGCGCGCCAGCGCGAGACGTTACACCACGGCAACGCCCTTGCCCATCGCGCTTTTTAATGAATGTTCATTTCAATATTCTTGCACCTATTCATGCGTTTGCTCTCGCTCGCGCTCATTACGCATTTGCCCGCCATGCTAGAGTCTGGAGATAGCGCGGAGTCGGGAGATAGCATTTCACTCTGACATTTTGCGAAGCCGGGTTTTATTTATGGTCAATTGTGTTGCTGTTGACTTGCCGATCAAAGCAACACGCTTGCCTTTCGTGTAACGTGCGATGGAATTGAAGGCGCCTAAAGATAAAATGCATTTTTACAATTACCATATGCATTCATCAATGCAATCCCGGAAAGCACCTTCCTCCCAGAATTGTAATACATATGCAAACGCGTAAGATTCCTGGGTAACGTTTCAAGAGCAGTCAAATGTGTGCATGCGTGCTCTGTGCAAACGCGCACACGCGTGCACATATTGCACGCGTGTGTGCGCATAGGTGCACAAGGAAGATCTCAAATTAACTTGATGAACTTACAAGGTCAAGTGCAGTTAGCGAGCAGCTATTAAGGCCGGTGTAATACACAACTCACTTTTGTCTCCCCAGTGCTGAAGTTTACACACTAGGAGGGACTCGTTTTTAAGTCTGAGCCATACTTGGGGTGGCCCCAGAATATGTTCACATATCACTTGTCACTGATGTGCATGACCAGAAATTGAACCCACACATCCATTCAGCCATTTATATGTGCAGTTGCGTGCCCAGCAAATTCGTTTAAATCATCACGCAGAAACCATCATGCGAACTGCAGTCATCCTCGCAGCGGATTTTGACTGGCCATCCAAGAATGAGAGTCTCACTGCACCGCGAACTTTCAGATGCGCTTCTGCGTCCGTCTGGAACTCTCTTCCTTCCGATATTAGCAAGCTACTGGAGCTACGCACTTTTACATCTAGAAAACCAATTTTGTTAGACCTGCTTTTTGTGTTTAGTTTGTTGTCCTTCCCCCGCATCTCCGATTTGCACGGTTGGCTACGTACGGTGCAAAAGAAGTTCAACATACTAAACTAAACTGTTTATTTTAGCAGATAAGGCCCACTGAGCACTATAGCTCTTTTTCATGAGGTGCTTATCATGTGGAAATGTATAGCACCCAAATACCCTAACGCATGTTTCGAAATATGTGGAGGTAAAAACCGGAGGACCCGGGGAAAAATCCACGTGACCACGGAGAGAACATGCAAACTCCAAATATATAGGTGTCAGGATCGGGATCAAACCCATGACCTCCTGTATACCAGGCGAGGTAGTTAAGATCTCGACACCGTGACGCCCCGACATACATACGAATTGTGAGATCAATGTTTTCTGTTATGGCTTACAGTGCTTCCCTCCCACATGTCATAGCACAGTGGCCCGCTTTTGAGAATTACGTCACGGCGTCTTCCAGGCAGTAACGTCTCATAATGCCCCACCAACCTTTCTTGACTGGGACTCAAAGCTCTCAACCCATACAGGTATGGTAGTGTAGTGCATACCGTGTTAACCCATACGGTTTACCCGGTATTCTTGTACAGGGAAATTGAGTTTTCAGGCACATACGGCGTACAGCTGTTTGAATATGGCATTTTTTTTGTCTATTTGTTTGTGTTTCTCCCTTGTGATGGGACTTTGTCAGATACACGTTGAGATTTATAAGGGCACGGGGTGACCAATAAGGTCTGAATTGGTCTGTAATAAGGTAGGTACTGATAAGGGGTTGACAGGTGTAGGGACTTGCTACTTCAATGGCAAGCAGGCAAAACAACACTTGGCTATTAACCTAAAGAGCGAGGTTATCAAGACCATTGAAAAAATATCGGTGCTGTTCATGAGTGCCATTTAACATCGACGTATATATTGCCTGCTACCAAACACACTGAGGACCTCAACACATGCACGTACAGTCCGTTACGTCAATCCACTGCTGTATGAGGGCCACCATGGTGCTGGTGATGTGCATCTTATCGAGATTTTGGTTGTTCCAGGATGTTCACGGACGTCTCAGCTGAGATCGTTCTGCACGCTTCTGCTATGTGCTGTTGAAGTTGAC